AGCTTGGAAAATTTTTCTTTGTTGAGTGTCGCTTTTTTGTTTTGGAGAACATAAAATTTTCTGAACAACATATGTAACTTCTCCATCTTCAAAACCAGCCATGGATCCATTATCTTTGTCTTTTACCTCTTCAACCTCAGTTACCTTATCCACTACATTCACCTGTCGATGCCCATCATTAGCTCCCTACGTTCTGGACATATATTAGATGTATGCCCCTATTTTCTACAACGGTAATAATAGTCTCCGGTTGGCTTCTGATACAGATTTGGTTTGTTATTTTTGTCTGTCATGGGAGCCTTTCGCCAGGAGTCTTTCTTTTCTTCTATTGTGAGCTGCTGTGAACTCTGGTTATTGGCAGGAGTGGCTGTTCTTTAGTTCTATCCACCGAAACTTCTACTGAATTGCTGATTTCCAGAGGAACAGGGTCGCCTGAAATTCTGGTTATGATTAGATGGTTATCGAGGTAGCCAATTAATTCTACCTTTCGCACGTTTAGCCATCTCAATTGCATCTGCCAAAGTGAAAATTACAGCTACACCCATCGTACACATGATATAATGATTCAATCCCCTTTGATAAGGAGCCACTTGTTGGGATTTTGTCTCACAATTGTCACATCGGGCCTGTAATCTCAAAAATTCTTTTGTATACTCATCTGCCTTTCGATTTTCCTAGAAATAGTCATGATACCTCTTATACAGGATTTGGGAGTGATCATTAGGGAGAAAACGCTGCTCAATCATCTGTTTCATTAAGATCCAATCTCGCACAGGTTCAATCCTCCGACGATGGCATTCATTTTGAACGGAATGCCCCCATGCTGTTGCACCTCCTTTTAGTTTATAGGCCACAATGGAAACTTTACGCTCCTCCTCAACATTCATGATCTTAAAGAATCGTTCAACCTCCGCTAGCCAATCAAGAGCGCTTTTTATGTCTAGCGATCCTAAGAAAGGTTAAAGGTCTACCTTTATCTTGTATCCTTTATGAAAATTGTCACCATTGCCTCTGTAATCTCGACCTCCATCATAATGATTTTGGTGTCTTGCATAATCTGGTTGTGGTGGACTCAGAGCTGCTGTTGTAGCTGCAGGTTATGGGTAGCCTTGTTGAATAACGAGAGTCAACTGTCTAATCTGTTCGGATAGTTCTTTGAACCTCGTCTCTATGGGGGTAAGTCGTGTCTCATGATTGTCGGCCATGGAGATACTTTTGCCTTTCGACTCTGATACCAACTGAAGCAGAACGGTTACGTGAATGGAAATAACGATTATACTCCGTTAGGAGTTTTGATCAATGTCATTTGATTTGACGAAGGAGTTTGTAAAACTGAACCCTCAAGGGAGTTTATTGAATATGAATAATGATCAAAGAATAATTGTCCTCCAAAATAGCAAAATAACCTATTTATATGTTTAGGCTAAAATATAAAAAACCCTAAAAATAACACAAAAGTTGAAGCTTTGCCAAACCCTAGCAAGGTCGGCAGCACGAGCGTGTTTGGCATGACATGAGCATGCTTGGTCTTCTAGGGGCTAGCACGTGCGTGCTTGGTATGACATGGGCGTGCCGGCACTTGAAACGGAACTAGACTTGTCGGCTTCGGCAGGAGCGTGCTTAACTTGGCGCGAGCATGCTTGGACTTTCAGAGGCTTGCACGGGCAGGCTGGCTGCAACACAAGCGTGGTTGTGCTTCTTAAACTTGGGCGTGTCTCGCGTCTTGCACTTCCAGAGGCTGGCACGGGCGTGTTGGATATGGCACGGCTGTGCCCCTTCTTCTTTGGTTTAAAGCGACCCAAATCATCCATATATTAAAGTGCAAGTTGCTCCGCATCAGATTGTAAAAAACAAAAAGGAAAAGAAGAGATATTTTCATGGCACATTTGCAAATTTGAAGAAAAAGATAAATAAAGAAATTAATATTAAAATAATTTAATAACGAAGAAGCCAAATAAAGAAAACACATCAATGTTTACTAAAAAAACAACAAAACAACCCACAAGCAAGCAAAAATCAATTTAATTAAGGAAATAAAAATTAGTTTAATCAAGGGTTCAATCTACAATTTATATACAAATCCAATCTTATTCTCAATAAGGACTGAATATGTGAAAGTTTTCTTGGATTTAAAACAAATATGAAAAGGCAAATTAATTCTGATTAGAGATTTAGAGCATTACTTGATGTTTGCTAAAGAAATTCCTCAATTTGCTATTGCTTCTTCTTCTTAAATGGCAACGGGCGTACAGAAGCTCAAAGAAAAAAATGGTAAAAATGGAGAGTGAGGAATTTTTTAGGTCAGAAAGTTGCACTTAATTGGGGTGAAAAGAGAGGTTACTTCTCGTACCGCTAGGTAAGTAGAGTTTCTCATTTCACGGGAATTTAGTGTTTTGTGCCAACCAAACAAGCCATAATCTTTATTTCTCACAAGCTATAACTTTCCCTCTTTTGTTACCTCCTAATCAAACGTTACCATAGTTTTAAAAAGGATCAGTAAGATCATTTCTTTAGCCATCCATGGGAAATTAGGCTAATTTTAGACAAAATGAGATTATTATATAACAGAATGAAAATTTAGAGAGGCTCGAGTAAGTTTTTGGAAATAAAAGGACGTATGTTTTAATTTCAACTGTAATTTAGGGGCTGTTTTTTTTCTTAAAAAATAATTTTAGATACTAGGAAAGAGACAGAATCAGTGGCGAATCCACTGTATAAAAAGAATGTCAATTTTTATATGTATATTTGTCTAAATTAATTTATAAAGTTGAATTTATTTATATCTTTGGCCCCTCTTTAATTTTTTTCAAAAAAATTATATATTGGCCCTGAAAAAAAATATTTGTATATTCGCCACTAGATAGAACCCAAGAAAGACAAAAAAAAAAAAAAAAAAAGGGTGGGTTATTCGGGCGTCTGTCTTTCGTTATTTTTCTCTTACAAAAATTAATTTTAGATACAGCGCCGAAAGAGACAGAATATCGTGGCGAGTACTCCTCCACCTGTTATGTAAAATCAACGCAAATGCAATTCTATTTCACCTATGTAGGATCCTTTGTCTAAACTTAACACCTGCTTGAGTAAAGTTGGAATTTTTAGTTGCTATACTCTATGTGACCCCTCCTTTAATTTTTTGTTCGATAACAACTCAGATATATTGTCCTGAAAAAAAAAGTATTTGTATTAGTTTGCGCCACTTAGAATAAGATACCCAAAGGATAAAATAGCAGGGATAGAAAAAAAAAAGAAAAAAAATAGGGACCTAATTGATGGCTAATGTCTAGGGGGCATAAAAGATCCCAAAACCCATAGATTATCTCCAATAACCAAGCATCCCTGACATCGCATGAACAAAAATCATTCGGCTTACTGAAAAAAAAAAAAAAAAAAGGGACTAAGTTGGGACTATTCTAGGGCATAAGACACCATAATGATCTCCATATACAAGCATCCCTGACATCCCATGAGACAAAAAAATCATTCGCTGATCTGCAGCCATCACAGCCATATTGGCTATCCTGTCAGCCACTTGATTGGCCTAACGGTAACAGTGTCTAAGCACCACCCGCCAATCTCGGCTCAACAATATTATACTTTAGTCTTAAAAATTTAAAAATATAAAAAGATTAAGTTTCATTAGCCTTTTCAAAATATTATATTTTTGTTTTCTGGTTAATTATAGAGAGACAAAAATTGTTTTAAAAAAATATGATAAAAAAAAATTTACAGATACAAACCTTGAAGGCTTTTTCATAATTAATCCTTCCCCCGGCTACTATTCGATTCAATGAATATAGAACATAGCAGAGCAAGCAAGGCATTGCAAAAAAAGATTCCAAAGTCATTACAAGCACCAATGGGCTTGATGTCAAGTTGTCTGAAAGGTGCAATAAATTTTTGCAGCCAAAGTTAGCTCGACTAGAAATGCCACCGATAAAAGACCAAAAGAGATTCTTACAAAGCTGAAATTGAATGACAACAACAAAGTCTAAACCATAAATAATGAGAATGTGGTTAAGATAGAACGACTGCCGTTCTTGGATGAGAAATAGTATCAGTACATGCATTTGTAGTTGGGCATTTTTAAAGCCAAGATGACCCTACTTCTATGTACCCATCCTTTTTATTGTGCCCGAAGACAAGGGTAATTTGGTTTCTTTCAAACTAGCATGCATTACTTATCCTATTATGTGATTGAACAAATGACAGATGGAGAAAGGTATTGATTGAAAAAAAGGGATACATGCTTAACGATAGGGCCAAACAAGGTGGTGTATATAAGTTATTCTTCAATTCATGTATGTTAATTTAGAGATTTAATTTCTTAGACTAGGTTCAAGGCTCCATCCATGAAGCAAATTAACAAAAAAATAGAATTTTTACTGAAACGAAACGTATTTCTGACATAACTGAGAAAAAAAAAATTTAATTTTTAATATTATTTAGGTAAATCAGTTACAACTGATCAAAGGTTTAGGTATTGTTCTTAGCAAATAATAATATTATTAGTCATATATAATACCATAATAACCAGCTGATAATTAATATAATAATCATTTTAATGGGATAAACCAAATGATAAAACATTCATTAAATATGCAATTAACCTTGCAATAATTATATAAATAAGTTCTTTTGCCTATAATATATAATTCAATCATTAATTGACATTTTAATAATTATTTATTAATTTTTATGAATTCTAAATTATTAATCACTTAAAAAATAAAGCTGAAAAAATGTAATTTTTTTTTGTTTTAACAAGTTTTAATTAGAGTAACATATAGTCCAAATATAAATATATAATAAAAATTTTTGAACTATAAACTATATGTCAAGCTATAATTAATGGGGCTCAAATTTTCAATCTTAAGTCAATTTTGTTATTAGTTGAATAAAATGCACTGCTAGATAACAATTGCATGATGAAAAACTAGTTTTTTGCAGGCCACCATAAGAGAGGAAACAGTAAATCAAATCATGAGAATACGTGTACAACAAGCAATAAATAATACATTATAGTAGTGGGTCTCAATATGAGGCCAACCTTTAATTGGAAAACAATTAGCATAGGTCCAATTCTTGTTGGTTCTGCAATCGAATGGTGTTTGAACATTAGAAGAAGTACTATATTGTCTATGAATATGATGGTTGGAAGCCTAAGATCAGAGAGGAAAATTTTTTCCATTTTAAGGACAAAGTCATCAAAGAAGAGAACAATTATTGTTGGACTAAAATCAGATAACTATGGCAGAGAAATGCTATTGAGATCACTTAATGTTGTAGTAAAGCCAGGGGATAATGTGCTAGCCATTCATGTTCAACAACCATTGGATAATTTTGATGCCAATACTTTTCATATGCATGAAGATCTCTGCAAGTCCAAGCAGGTATGGGGTTTTGACCTCTCCAAAATATGTGTTTATTTGTTGATTTTCTAATGGGGTTTAATTTTTATTTTACAATGCAGGTTGATTTTTTGATAAAAATATGCAATGGAAATTGTTTCATTTCTGAATTAAGCAATCAAGTACGTATAAACTTCGCAACCATTCTTGTGCTTGGATGCAACCTCTCGAGGTTTGAACTTGACACTTGACTACTATGCTATTCGCCGAATAGTTCATATAGACTTTTTTTGTTCCTATTGCAGGCCTAAAGATTCTGTAATCAGTAATTATCTAAAAGGGTTGCCTCCAACTTGCAGCCTCTTGATCATAAATAAGGTTGGGAAGATCATATTGGAGAGGCAAGGAACCTCACAGCAAGGCTCGTCTCAATCCTTTCATTCATCTTTATTATCAGAAGAAAGTCACTTTACTCCAAATTCTTCCTCGAGAGAAACACCAATCCAACAGATTTACAGTACAAAGAAGTACAGTTTAGCACAAAAGCTATTTCGAAAACTAGTACAGATAGAATCCGAGCGATCCATCAAGCTTTTCACATTACAAGACCTTAATTCAGCTACCGATAATTTCAGCCCTGACATGGTGATTGGAGAAGGTGGACATAGTAAGGTGTATCGTGCAAAACTGGAGGACGGCCGTCCTGCTGCTGTCAAGGTTCTTCAAAGGACACAGTTTTCAGCGGAGGATCTTCTCCGAGAAGTGGAGATTTTATCTAGCTTGAAGCATGAGAATATTGTTAGGATAATTGGGTATTGTGAAAATATGGATATAAATGCAGTTGTATATAATCTGCTAAAGGGAAGTTTAAACCAAAATCTGAAACAACTCAAGTGGAAGGAGCGAATGGGAGTTGCCATTGGCGTCGCGAAAGCACTGGATTATCTTCATCATTCTTTCAATCCTCCAATAATTCACAGAGATGTGAAGTCATCTAATATTCTCCTCTCTGACGACTGTCAACCACAAGTAAGTATTTATCTTGGTATATTAGAAATTTTTGAAAAGAATAAAGTACTGTCAAGATTTAGCCACAAAACTTCTGCAGTGGTTGAGTGACTTCTTATGCTACAAGATATTATCTTTAGGTCTCGTCTTCAAGGACAAAACTAGAAAATAAAATTTATATTTTTATAAGGAAATTCCTTTCTTTAATTCTGTGGGGACAACTCTCCAATTGAATCTATCTGCTCCCCTGTTGAACCGCTTCTGATTCGGGAAAACAAGTCGATAGGCAAGAGCTCGCGTTATCCAATCCTTATGCCAAACCTACTTCACCAAATTGTAAAGCTCGAAAGCCGGCCTTCCCTTCTATTCTATTAGTAAAGGGCTTTTCTTCGTCAAGTGTAAGTTCGATCGCATCTAGTTGTAAGCCATGCATAAAGAAGGGCAAAAGAAAGCCTAAAATATATATATCTAATACTATATATAAATGCGGGAAACGAGGCCTTATTGAGATTTTAGAAATCTTAAAATATATTTTTCAATAATTGATAATAATTTGAATTTTTAATAATTGACAAATTAGGATATTAAATTATTAATCAATTAAGTTTCTTTTAACTAATTGATTAAAAAAGTTTGCTATTATATTATTTTAATATTATTATTTTAACATATTATCCTAACTGAATTTTAAATCATTGATTAATGAGGATATTAATTTTTTCAAAAAACAGATTATTATCATAATTTTAAAATAAACTTTAAAATGCAAAAAAAAAATATCTATAAATTTTTTTTTCAGACGTCATAAAAAAATATATATCACTTTTAAAATTTTAAATTTTTTCTTTTAATATCTATTTATCTATATCTAAGTTTTTCAATTTTTTTTATTTACCTAAGTTTATCTCTTTTGTTTTAACATTAGAAAATTATATTTTATTAGTGAAAAGATATAATTTATAAAAATTATTTTTTAAATAAATACATATAGATAATTAAGCATTTCAAAATTTTTAAGTTTTAACTTTTATAATATTCCTTTTTCTATATGTTTGTGTAATTTGTTTGGATATATATTTTTAAAATGTAAATTTCAAATAGAATATACATAATTAAGCCTTCAGCATGTGAGATGATAAATAGTTGAAAATTTTAATTTTAAAAATATAAGAGTATTTTATTGTTATATCTATATACATTAAAAGATATTTATTAGGTATTATTATAGAATGGTACATATATAGTTATAATGAATTTTAGATAAATGACGATATAAATTGAACTGAAATGTATGTATGTACATACTGCCGTTTTTATTAATTAACTGTTATATTCAAATTAATCCCATATGAAATTTTGTTTTAACATTATAAAAATCTAAATAATATAAGACAAAAGTTATAATCAATATTTAATATTAAAAAATAAAAATAAGTGTGAAAAGTTGTTAATTGAAAGAATCATATAGAGTATTTTTATTGTTAATATCTTTAGTACATTAAAAGATATTTTATAATTAAGTATTGATTCTAATAGAATCGGTACATGTAATTAGGTTAGTAATGAGATGTTTAGATAAATGACGATATAAATTAACTGAAAATGTATGGTATGTACATACTGCCGGGGTTTTCGTAATATTAATTAACTGTATGAGTGTGCAAATTAACTCCCATATGAAATTTTGTTTTAACTAGTTATAGAAAAATCATAAATAATATGAAGACAAAAAGTTATGAAGTCATATATATTTAATATTAAAAAATAAAAAATGAGTATATATAAAAATCTAAATAATATAAGACAAAAGTTATAATCAATATTTAATATTAAAAAATAAAAATGAGTATAAATAACAAGTAAAATTGAATAATGACATAAAAAATTGAACCAGTACGAATAACGAATATAGTTAACGTGCTAACACATGTCATAAAAAGACTAGTATGAAACAAAAAGAGAATATAGCAACTATTGATAACTTTCGATTGGTTCAAATTTAAGTACTGAAGTAACTAGTTCATGAAATAACAAACTGTAATTTTAAGTTCTGATTAAATTTACTGTATAATAGATATAAGACCCTAGTTTTACATTTTGAGGTTTAGACCTCCCTCAGTGGTCTAGAGTATCCTACAAATAAGAGACAGATCATAATTTATTTGAGAATGGCAATAAGGATTAACTTTTCCAAACTAAAAATTATCTTGTTTTTGTTTCTCAGCTCTCAGATTTTGGAGCAGCAATGTTTTATAATAAAACAGAGCAAATTTCAGAAAACATTAATGTTGTTGGAACATTTGGTTACTTGGCTCCAGAGTACGTGATGTATGGAAAGGTAGATGAGAAGATAGATGTGTATTCCTATGGGGTTGTACTTCTAGAACTTGTATCCGGTAAAGAGGCTATTCAAACAAATCAAAAGAAACAAGAAAGTTTAGTGCTATGGGTAATTTAAAAGCCATTTGTTTCACGTTAATTGAACAACAAAACAAAAGAAATTGTGTTCTTCATAGTTCTTAGCCTATCTGCCTCTTTGATTTGCAGGCAAGATCTTTAATTAATTCTGGTCTACCCGAATGCCTAATTGATCCTTGCCTGAGTGAAGATTATGTAGTAGAAGACATGAAAATGGTGATGTTTATAGCCCGCCTTTGCCTCATGCACTCATCTTCCAGGAGGCCAACGATGAAAATGGTAAGTTTCTATGCATAAATTCATTGTTAAATTTTTAAGGTACTAATGTTTTTATCCTAGTCCTCATCCATTCGGTAGATGGAATGGTAAGTTCTTCACTTTATGTTAGGATCCTTACAATAATTCTGTTTGGCATTCGATATATATATCTTTTTAATATATACGTATTTAACACATACATGAAATAGTGACAGAACACCTCCTTTATTAAAATCATAACAATTTTAACGCGCTGCAATACTAGAACAAGCAAACTACACACATAAGGAGCCATTGGACATTTCCTTTTAATTACTTATAAGATAGAGACATGACAAACTCTTATTAGAATCATGATAATTTTGATAAAATATACTAACCTATATATCTCACATACACGCACATTTTACAAGCGAAGTGGGATTATGAAAGACCTAGTTTAATATTATTTCATATATAATTAATATTGGACTCTTATTTTAAAGTTATTCCTAATTGAGTAAGGATACAAATTAAAGTGGGATAAGTTTTTGGTTTTTGCTTATTGATGTGTGAGTGTTGTGTGGAGGCTTTTGGCTATGGTTTATGAAGGAACCATTGTGTTGTTGTTGTATATTATGATGCTCAAAAAGTATATAGTTTAATTATATAAACTATATGTGAATTAATTATATACTAAAGAGGAAAATGAGAGATAAATAATCTATTTACTATGAGTAGTGTGTAGTAGCCATATGCGTGAATCAACTTGGGTAGAGTTAGGCTTATAGTTAATGGGTGCTTTGAGCATAGTTCAGTTTTTCGGTCCGGTTAATTAATTAGGCTTTGGTTTATAATTTTAGATAACTTCAATTTTGACTTTCGATTTGATAAAAGGAAATAACTAATACTGTCCAAAAACCGACTATTTCAGTTTAGTTCCAACTTGATTTAAAAAAAAAAAAAAAAAAAAAAAACTTTGGGTTTAGTAAGAATTTTAGATAACGTTCAATTTGACTTTCGAGTTTGATAAAAGGAAAATTAACTAATAGCTGTCCAAAAAACCGACTGAATTTGTCAAAGTTTAGTTGCCAACTTGCTGAATTTGAAATAAGAAAAAAAAAAAAAAAAAAAAAAAAAAAAAAGAATACTTAGTTTTTTATTTCACGAGTTCAGATCAGAATGAACCAACTAACCGATCGTGTATGCCTATTTGAGCATCATGTAATTGTTGTTAGTATGCCTCTGATGTCCTAAGAGGGTTCAAGGTGGAGGAATGTAAGCTCATGGGTATACCTATTACAACCAATTTAAAGCTAAGTAAAGAGGATGATGCTATGAAGGTGGATGAAAGCATGTATAGTAACTTAATTGGCAGCCTCCTATATGTCACAGCAAGCAAACCTAATATATTGTTTGTTATGAGTGTGCTTTCAAGATTCATACATTCACCTAAAGAGACACATTTTTCAGCTGCTAAAAGGATGCTTACATTGGAATTTTTTAGGATATTAAAAGGATGGTACATCAAAAGTACAATTAATCTTGGAATTTTTTTCTCCAAGATCTGTAGGTGAGAATTTGAAGTTGATTGGTTACTCTGATAGTGATTAGGGAGGCTGTGTTGAGATTCAAGAAGTACCTCAAGGTATTTATTCTCTTTAGGGTCTGGATATACCATTTGGAGTTCAAGAAAATAAGAAACTACTGCCCAATCAAGGGCAAAAATAGAGTACATTATTGTCGCCTTTACTGTAATCTATCTGTTTAAGAAAGTTACTGAAAGATTTAGGACAAACTGAAGGAACCATAATTATGTGTGATAATATTTCTGTTTTTTCAATCGGAAAGAATCTCGTTTTTTCATGGATGAACAAAGCACATCAAGATTAAATTTCACTTGATTATAGATGTTCAACAAACTAATGAAGTATTACTTATTCATTGTTCATTAGAAGAGCAATTAGCCGAGAAAGATTTGAAGCTTTAAGAAAAATGATAGGTGTTTGTCACCGAAATGCGAAGGAGGAGTATTGAAGTATGAGCATTTTAGTTTCTAACTCATAATAAAAATTTTTATTTTATTTTTAGTAGAAGTATGCAATAATAGATATTTTATTCTCCTAGTTTTTAATCTTACCTTCTCAGTTAGTTTTATCTGATAAGAAGTGGCACTAAAGTAGAAAAGTTGGTTAATTTTTTGTACATAAATTTTCAATTTTGAGTGAAATAAATATATTAGTTCTCCATTCACCTTTTAAACTCTTCTTAATTTCTTTAGTAGCTTTTTTCTTTTGTTTCAATAGTCGCTTCTATAGACCCACCTTCATTTTTCAAAATGTCATCGAATGTCTCTCTCTCTCTCTCTCTCTCTCTCTCTCTATCATCTGCAACACATGCTCTCTTTTTTCTCTTCCAATTACTCTATCTATTCTATTCAACAACTTAGGATAAGACCTGCCTACACCTGATATATGGTTGTCTCACACCTCATGCCAATCAAAAAAGGATTTTTTAAAAAATATTATTATTTTATCATTTTTTCCTAATGTATGATAAAAAATATCATTATCTTAACCAAAATATGTGATTGATTTAGTATATAGGTGGGCCCATAAATCTTTTCTAATAATTCATATTCATCTCCCTCTTTCTTTTTCTCTCTCATATACACACATGTATATATATGCAATGCTTCATCTCACTCAGAGAATAATTAGGTTTGCAAGAGCTTGAAGTTTTCTCTCTCTCATCTCGTGACCTATCCTTCACCTACTTGTCTATTTCTCAATGACTAATGTATAAATTTACTCTTGAACAATCATTGATTCTTCTAGTGGCCATTGAACTTTGCGGGTCTAATCATGGTCCTGGACTTTCAACTCCTTCCATAACCATGTCCTAAGCCACATAGAAAATGAAGAGTGTGCTTTCAATCGCATTTAGGTGCGAATATTGATTTTCTTTATTAGGTGAGTGTGCAACATTGCATGATCAATGTTAATGATTGTCAAACAGTTTAAAAAGCTTTTTTCTTTGCCAATTTCTCTCTCCAAAATCAATTTTAGAAACGATATCCATCTCTCCCCCTCTCTCAATTGATTTTATTTCTCCAACTAGAATTGATTTGAAAAGGGCAAGATTTGCGCAGGAATTAAAAAGTTTGGGCTATATTTTAAAGCTAGGTTTGTGTGAAATCAATTTGAAAGCTAGGGTTTTAGCAAAACATTTTCTTTCCTCTTAGTCTGCTTTTGAGTTGAAGAGTTTATTATACCAGATATCATTCATGACTCTGTTGTAATCTTCTCTTTCTTCCTCTTTATATAATTTCATTTCCTATTCATTTGCGTTTTGGCATTCTTTGATTTCATGTTTTCTACTTGAGTCTTGTTTTGAGTTCCTATCTTTTTTTATTATTTTCTTATTTAATTGATTTATTTATTTATTTTTGCTTTAGAATTTATCCATCTGGACATCTCATATCTTGGTGATGGCTCAAAATTTTTTAGTCTTTTGCATTGTGCCATCAAAATTTATTTTGAGGTGTACTTCAGTCAAGGCTATCAGGCAAGAAAATTGTGGTTGAGTGGTTCAAAGCAAATTTCTTTTGTACAGTCAAAATTTTTAATCAATGTGGATTAAATTTAAATATGCGTAGTATCATTAAAATCCACATCAATGCATGCGTAACTCACATGTTTTTTTTTTTTTTTTTTTTTTTTTTTTTAAAAATATGCGTAAGTATCATTTAAATTCCCCCCACAAAAAATCAAAATGGCAATCCGGTAACTCACATGTTTTTTTTTTTTTTTTTTTTTTTTTTTTTTTTTTTTTTTTTTTTTTTTTTTTCAAGGGGCATGGTTACCGAATGATTTGTTAGTACAAGGTTATATATCAATAGAATCCTATAAAGTTCAAAGGACCATTAGAAGAATTAAGGATAGTTTATAAGTAAATTTATGCATTAGACCATTTCTCAACTCTTCTATTATAGATTATCACCCAATCAATGAACACTACAAATGATGTAAATTAATAATAGACGTCACTAATTCTATTTGAGTAAGTTAAAATTTTCATCGTTTTTTTATGGAAACTTTGATCCCATTTGTTTTTGAATTTATAATGTTAAGATTTGAGTATAGTATTATGGGTATTATACAATTGTACAAATGGTTGCACATACATGGGGGTGGATTTATTGATTTAAAGTATCCAACTCATATCTATGGATCAATCATTTTTTACTCAACCCAATTCGTTGAATATGTCCGAGAGTTGTGACAGGTTGGGTTGGATATATAGGTGTCACGACCCATTTCCATGGGCCGGACCGGCACTAGGGCCCAGGTAAGCTTAAGGCCCCCGAGGCCCGTAGTAAGCCTGAAACGCTACAAATTTGAGCCTGTATAACGCTACAGAATTTTGTTATCTTCAATAAATTTTTAAACATTTACAAATTTGCCCTGCCTTACATTACACTATAGTTATAGATACGATAGGTCGTCACAGATATTAATTCACTTTTTATAATAATACACAACTTAAAAGTATACAAGTTCTATAACTGCGTGAGTTTACTGCGGATGTATACATAATAAGTCTTCGACAATTAATCTATTTAAATTGGATCATACTAAAATTAGCCGAATTCTTTTTTAACAGGCGAAGAGCAGAGTTATAACTGGGATTTAGAAAATGCTACTTCCTGAAAGAATTGAACAAAAGGATGTCGAGTTTAAGTTAATGAATAATAAATTATGCACAACACACACATTCACTACATTTTGTATAATATATAACCTGTCATTCCGATCTGGTATAATATGCTACTAACATCCAGGCCAGTCACACAAATGGCATATCACCTTTCAGCCATCTCAAACAATATTTAACAACTTCATATAATCACATTCAACGTGGAATTAGTCAGTGGCGTTCACCCTAAATCCCCCGACGAGCCGTCCTCTCAAACAGCCATCCCTCCTTCAACATGTGGCATCCCGGGTACAATCCCCCATATCTAGCCCCCGTCTAATCCTCACTTTTGACAGTCCTCTCAATATTTTTATTCTTAAACCATTCTCTCTTTTTCTTTTCCATCTCATCAACATCATTTCATCAATTCATCAGGTTGCACACGGGGCGCCGATCTCCCCATTTAAACCCCGGCCGACGGTCCATA